CCACTCAACTTGTCATCTGCAAATCTGCTGATGGTGAACTCCATTCCTTTGTCTATGTCATTAATGAAAAGATTAAACTGACCCCATACACTATAGTATCCCATCACAGTTTTCTTCTCAATAAAAGRTCATTCCTTGTTAAGCCTGGCACAACACAGGAAATTCTTCATTCATTCTGTTTCTATGGCCTTTTTCCTCCTTAATTTTCTAGGGTTTTTTTCAGCATCCTTTAGTAATACGAATTGCAGTTCCACTGGTATCTATAACCACTGCCTCTGAGTCATGGAGCAACATTCAGAATACACATCTGAGCCCCTGACACTGTAGCAGGAGTTCAGTTACTCATTCATTGTGTGCTGTGGTGGGTTGACCTTGGGTGGCTGCGGACGACCACACAGCTGCTCTCTCACTCCATATCCTCAACATTACCAGGGAGAAAATAAGATTTAAAAGCTCACAAGTCAAGAGAAAAACACGGAGTTTAGCTGGCAGTTACCATCACAGGCAAAACAGACTCCGTTTAGGAAAAAAATAATTAAATTTACTGATTTAAAATAGAGTAAATGCAGTAATTGGGGGCACGAACTCCTCTCTGCTGCTTTTTTCTCTGCATGCTTTCCCCTGCTCCAGCATGGGCTGCTCTCCATGGGTTAGAGCTACTGCCAGGAAGGAGCCTGCTCAAACTCTCTGTGCTGCTTTCTAGCTATCATCTCACATCCCCTTCCAAATACATGTCCAACAATTCTTGTGTCTGAAAGAACACAGCCTCACACCTGACAATGTGAATTTTCATGTGCGCACATTACCCAAAGATCCAAATTGTAACTATCCTGTCTGTAATATGTTATAATTTTATCAGCTTTATGTTACCCCAAAAAGAGTTACACATCAGAAGTTTATGATATGAAAATAAGATCAAAAGAATTCTAGCAATGCTATTTACATATTTCTACAATACTGAAAGAGCAACAAACTATTTGCACTACAAATAGCACTTGGAAGGTTTTTCCATCCCTCCAAAAAAGAAAACTCTCCTATCGAACTTTAAAGTAAGAAACAAAAAAAAAAATGCTCTATATAAGCCATCTCACACCCTGTTGAAACCAGAGAAGGGAACCATTTCTTCAGCCCCTCCGTCCTGGGATTATTTATGATGATTTTCTATTCCCTGATCCTCTGTTTTATGCCCAAAAATGGTTGCTGTATCTTTTAGGTGGGTCTGGGGAAGGGGGGAGCCTTGGGCTCTTTGGTGGGTTTTTTCAAAGCCTCACTTCCTAGGCATCTGGGGTGCACTGTGGTTTGGGTTTTGTTTGGCGAGTTTGGTTTTGTTGGCCCAGGCCTTGGAGAAGCTGCAGCATCAATCCTTCAGCAATTTTTTGAGGTGAACTGSTCAGCCTGTTAGTCTGAAACCAGAAAAAAAAAATGGAACCTGTGGGAGAGGGGCCACTTGGGATCAGTGAGGTAGAGGCTGCTCCTTTTCGGCCCCAAA